AAATGCTACATGTTCTTACTTATAAGTGGGAGCTAAGCTAGGGGTCTGCAAAGGCGTATAGAAAGGTATACTGGACACTGGAGACTCAGAAGAGGGAGGATGGGAAGAGGTTGAGGAATGAAAAATCACCTATCGGTTGCATTGTATACAAGTGAAGGTGATTGGTGCACTTGAAGCCCAAACTTCTTTACCACTGTAAAATCCATGTAATCGGAAACCATTTGTACTCCTACAGCTCTTGAAATAAAAAAAAAAAAAAAAAGAAAGTGTTACACAGTGGGATGCTTTGGAAAAGTTATGGGTTTTGGAGCTATATTGATCGTGTTTTTTATTCTCTGTATTTTATGATGCGTTGACATCTTGGCGTCTTCCAGACCCAAAGAGGAACTGTCCCTCCCAGGGTTAGCTAATTCCTAGAGATAACTAAATGACTTGCCTGTGAACATGCCTTTGATATGCAAACCAACCAATCCCAAGGCTATACTCACCACCCCCTCCTTTTACCGGGCTCATGAAGTTCAGGACACTATCTCTCTGCCCTAAATCACCCCAGGGCCAGGTACCAGAGCACAAGAGATCACCTTTATCGACCAGAGCCTGCTGAAATTATTCATACCATCCAATTCTAAACCTGCTCAGCTGTTTACCCTGCCACTTCCATTCCTTTCCTTGAAAACTGCAATAAAGTATGGTTTCCCCTTGCTCCTTCTGCCCTGACTGACTGGTGCTTTCCCATGTGGCCCTTCATGGTATGGTGTGCCTTCTTATCTTGGAAACTGTGAGTAATAAACTTTTCAAAGGCTATCTTCATGTCTGTCATCTTACCATACCTGATTAAAACAAATTCCAAGTACGTTTCAACACAGGAGCCGCACAGATTTGAGTTCTAACTGGGCTCTGTCATTTACCCATTATATGACCTTTAGAATATCCTCAGCTTCAGCGTCCTTATCTCTACAACATGGCAAAAGATTTCTGTATTGGACTGCTGTAAGAACTGATAATAATACGTCATCATAAAGTAAATAAGCACTGGAGAAATAGTATCTGTGTGGACAATGAAATGAGAAAATCAATGGTTAAAATCCCTCTTTAGGCTCAGAAATGAACAAGGACAATACATGCAGATTTATATATCCTTCCTAATGTTTAATTACTAACAGCAACAAATCAAGAGATTGCGCATTGCTATTTTTGTCTCTCAACTGAAAAACTCTTTTCCCCATATTAAATGATGGTTGATGTTTCTGTTAAGGAAATAAAACCTGATAATTAGTCTTTTAAACAAGAGAAAGGAAGCATGGTTTATCACTTTTCCTCTGCTCAAGTGTCATTTTGACAAGCTACAACTACCTTCACTAATTACCTGATAAGCAAACTTATCAAGTAACATGGTAGAGAGACAAGAGGTTGGAATTTGAAACCATTCTAGCCCTAAGACAAATACCCACCCTGTGACCTTCAGCATATCACTTAATAGCTTCAAACTTCAGTTTCCTTATCTGTAAAAGAAGATACGAACATCTACCTACTGAAGATGTTTAAAAAGATCAGATATCATGTAAATAATGTGTCTCATTAGTGGAAGGTCTGGGATTTGAACCCCCTAGTCTGAAGGACCTGCCAATAAATAACAGAGCCCACCACAGTCTCCAGATCCGAGCTTTCACTGTTTAGCTCTTCTCTTTATTCCATCCTCCCTCCTCCTTTCAGTGGATGAATGAAAACATTTTTCAGGATTTGAATCATTTCCTTCTTTCTCACTAAAATTATGGTCCACATGGGATTTTACTGCTTGAAACAGAGGACCTTGCACATCCAGATAATGACCAGATGCACTCACTTCTAGCATGAAGACTTGGCTACAGCTGTCATCTCGGCCACTTAGCAGCTTGGGTTAAAGTTGCTGGGTTCAGTTAACTCAGGATAAATAATTGTACCTGTGAGTACTACGGGGAGAGCAGTAAATGCCCAGGCAAGTCCCCTCTTAGGGCGGGGTTTGGCCCATCTGGAAACCTTCCTTTCTTCCTGCAAGCTGCCTATTCTTGCAAACATTCCTTCTGGGAGTTTTCTCAACAAATCTGCCACTCAGGGATTTCTACTTCTTTGGATGCCTATTGCCCTTACAGCCAAGCCTGTATGCTTTAGGGTTGCATGGCTAAGTAGCCAAGGGTTTCACATACAGTATTTTCATTCCTGAGCCCCGTTGTGCAATCCAGAATCTCTGGCATGGCTTCTTAGTCTTTCCTCACAAGGCTTTGCACAGAACAAGGCACCTAAGAAATGCACAAGAAACTTCTGTTGATTCATTGATTCCAGTGAAGAGCCAAGATAGTCCTGGATGCTTTTAATGGAAACAATTGGGTGGTGTAGATCAGAGTATTAACAGACTTACCCTGGATAGTCACTTCTCACTTAACTAATTTTCACAGCTCTGGAGAAGTTGTAAACTTTTCTGGGACAATGCTCTTCTCCCTTTTTTCAAAATAATGACTTTTCACTCCCAGATGTTAAATATGCTGTAGTTTCAATATTATAGTGTTTGGCAAAGATGCATTCACCGATTTCCCTGACAAAACAATGTATATTCAGAGAATGTCAAATGGAACAATTTTGAGTTGCAGGTCAGGTGGGAATGAGCATTTTGCTTTGTGTATGTGTGCCGTGTAGGTGGGGTGAAGAAGTAGCATCTTTTTCTACTCTAGTCCAGAGGTCAATAAAGTCCTATAAAGGGCCAGAAAGTAAATAGTCTATTCTTTGAAGGCTAAAATGTCTCTGCTGAAAAACTGATTAACTCTGCCCTTGTAGTATGAAAGCAATTAATCACAGTTTGCAAACGAATGGGTGTGACTTGGTTCCAATAAAACTTTATTTTAAAAAAACAGGTGGTGGGTCAGATTTGGCCTATATCCACTTGTTTGCAGACCCCTGCTTTGGTCCTGTGAATACTTATTATTTCCCTGTGCTTTGAACTTCTTTATCTTGCCCCAATGGCTTTTTTTTTTCTGTGCTACTTTATTTTTAAGTGAAGTTTATTTTGAGGGCAAGATAATCATATCCCAAAATGTTGGAAAATTGATGCATAAGATGGCACAGAGTGAAATATGCACCTTATACTAACTTATACATCCTTTCCTCTAACAATCCCACCCACTCTCAAGTTTTCCTTTATTACTTTGTGGAGTAAAAGAAACCTTCATTACATTACATTACACCAACAAACTATATTTATTTTCAACATCTTGAAAGTTGTTTATTACTTTTTAGTCTTGTTTTCATCGTTCAATTAATACATTTTTCTATTTGTGTTTTCATAATTTGGGATGGAATGCATCATAGATTTTCTTTTGCAATTAATGGAAGCATTTTTTGGTTAAATGGCTTTTCACTCAGCAGTTGAGTACTCGGGAATGAATTTCTGTTGGTAAGTGATGGATAGCTATAATATTAGAGGAAGCCCCAAATTGCCCTCATCTCTGGGGGAATCTCCAGTCCAAGATGAGTGAAGGCTACTCCAGCCGGCAACACATGGCAACCATTCCATGTCAGATGTGACCACAAAAGGTGTGAGGAGATTTGGAGGAGAAAGTGGGAAGAAGTGGGCCCTAGTGTCATGTTTGGGTGACTGTCTAGTCCCCTGTTCATAGGAAGCTTTGCCAAGCTGCAGACACACACTGTATTTCCACCCCCTATCTTTCTATCTTTCTGGTTTTTCCATGACACTTGAAGCCATTCCTTCCTTGGTCTCAGTGTCATTTTTAAGACAGTTAAAATACCCTTGTTCTCAAGTGTATAGGTTAACTACGAAGTTAAAGTGAATGCACCATGCCTATGCATTATCAGCTAAGCTTTCAGAAGAAATTAGACTGAAAGATGCCCATCCAGATGCTAAAACTGCTTTTTAAGAGTAAGTGGCTAGGGCTAACTTAGATATTTTTGTTGCTCTTATTTCTTTCTTCACTGTGATGGATCAGGAACTGTTGATGCTGGCGCTGCAGCATTGAACTTGACAGACATTGTTTCTGACCTCATGGAGTTCATAGTCTAAGATGTATTATAAATTCAAGTCCAAAACCTCTTGGGAGGATCCCATACTAGGAACCAAAGCCCTGCTATGATGTGTTATAGAATAACAGCAACAAGATAACATCAACAGCCAATGAGCACAGGACTGCTGCAACATTCTATGATGTCATAATTTGGACAAAAGCTTATGTTCCTTTGACTTTGGGGCAACGCGAAATGAGCAGAAAGTAAGGTAGGTTATGAAATAAGCCCCTAAACTTGGGAGAATCTCATGCTAAGGGCATAAGGTCTGAAAAGACAAGCATGATAGGACTGTGAAATATGGTTATGTTATACTGAGCTCATTGGCTCCTGCTGAGCTCTGGTGGGACCCCCAAAACCATGTGCCCAAGTTTTACATTGAGGAAATTGCTCTACTAGTTTCCAGATGTAGGTGAATTCTCCACTCCCACTCCCACTGCCCTATGACCTCCAGCAAAGCAGAAACAGATGGACAGTAATTGTGTTGTGAATCAATATCCATATCGTTGAATAATACAATCTATATCATTTCAGTAGTAGCATTGAACTATTGGTTGCCCCTCCCCAAGAAGAGTGCAAATTTGTGCAATTGAAATTGTAGCAATCAAAGAAGTCAAAGACCCAGTCATTCATCAGTCTTTCTAGTGAAACCACTGTCTTTGCATTCATCTTGGGGAATCTGCTGAAATGGACTCTATTTAAACACAAAATCATCCTAACCAGTAGCTGCCTCAGTGGGAGTGGAGAGCAAAACACGAGTGCACTTTCCATCAAAACATGCAAGGAAAAAAAATCTTTTCCTGTATCTTTTGTGGTTGCTAATAAGTTTGACTCATACACTTAACTGTTTTTTGTACAATTCTTAGCACCACAAAGAGGACGTGCTTTTTCTTCTTCCTTAAGAAAAAGCACCATTCCAAACCATCAGCCTCTGTAGGTTGTCTTAATTGCTACTTTGCACTGCACTGGACTATGACTCTGATTTTTGGCACATGCTGTCATACACAAAGTTCCTAAAATAAAATGCTCCAGGATAGCCTAGGAACTCTTAGAAGGCTTTAAAAGGAGACTCACACACTGAAAGAATATCTTTGATGAAGACAATTCAGGCAAGCAGAATGATTATTGCAACAGAACTATATGATTAATTGAGATCTTGAAGTGGGTCCCTCGAATCCTCGCCACCTAACTTATGGTTTAGGAAGTTTCACAAGAATCCAGTTTTGATAAAACAATTGTTTTTTTCCTCCCCGAGTGACTATACATTTAAATAGCTAAAACATCTGTTCAGCAACATAGTAAAACATGTATACTCGGAACGCTTGAGAGAAGAGCCTGCCAAACAATCGGTTGAGAGGGACTTTGCTGAGGGAGAGCACCAAGATAAAGCAACCACTGTTTGTTTTGTCTAGTCAGGGGGAAAGCCAAGGCAACCAATATTTGGGGTTTTAAAATTTTCACTTGTGAAGAATTATTTGAGAAGGGGTGGCGAGGGGAGATTTCCTGACAGGATTTTTTTAAGCTGTCCATTAGTAGAAGAGCAAGAGAGCCTTGGATGTCAACGCCTAACAGACTCTTGAGACTAGCCACCAAACCACGAAAAGTGACTTTCTTCTCTTGTGCTCTCTACGGCCCTTCTGATGGAAGCAGAACCAGGGAGCAGTGTGGAAACTGGAAAGACGGCCAACAGAGGCGTTCAAATCGCCCTGGTCGTGTTTGTCGGCAGCACCCTGGTGTTGGGCACGATCCTCTTTCTAGGTAAGTGGAGTACTGCAGACCAGGGGAACTGGGTGTATGCCGAGAAATTTCCTTGTGCTTTATTCTGGCAAACCTTGTCATAATGCAGGTGTATGACTGTTTGCCTATGTTGGTAGGTGATGAATCCTTAGTTTCTATCTAATATGCAAATAAAAAATAAGGCTTTTCTTTGGGAGGCTAAATAAATACACTCAGTACCAAATGCATAGTCCAGAAGGCAAAGTGGGTGTAAGTGGCTTCGAGTGGTTAGAGGACTCAGTTGCACCTGGCAGAAAAATTTGTATGTATTATATTTAGCAAAATGACTCTTTATGGATTCATAGTCAGATACTTTCATTTATTTTGAAAGGAAAGACTTTATAGTGTGATCAAAACCATGCTGGAATTTCTTTCCATTTGACTTTTGTTAATGTTTGCCTGAATGAATCATGAACTTTAATTAACAAAATATAAATCAGTCCTTTAAAGTGCACCTTTAATGGTATTCTTCAGTTTCTTTGTAATCCAGTGACTGGTGAGATGCAATTTTAACTCTGCCTTGCTATTAGATTTAAAAATTAATATGAAGGAAAACAGAGTTTTTCCTACCAAGAATTGAAAGACATTGTCATTCGATTATTTTAATGACTCTTGGTGGGAGTGATATACCCAGAGAATATATATGATGATAAAAGTGTATTCCTATGAAAAAGAATAAAATATATTGGAAAGAGGTGAGGGGTGTTCTAAAATTCTAGGCTTTCTGAATGCTTGACTGCTATCCTTTTTATTTTTCTCACTCAACCCATAGTACTTCATTACTTTGAAAGTTACCTAGGGACAAGCCTTATACTTAGGAGATTCTAGGTACAGTTTGAAATGTAGCAAGGCTGGAAATATTCCTTGGCATATACAGAATGCAGGAGGCCATGTTTATTTTGGCAGGGGAAAACTAGTAATTAAATTAAAAGAGTTAGGCTTGTGTAGTTGAAAAATCTGCTAAAACGAGCAAACCATCTTTCCATGTTTTCTGTGACTGAAGATTTGGGAAATTAGATGGGTTTATTGTTTTCTGGTAAAGCTAAACCTCCTACTCCTGCAACCAAATTTGTGGATCTTGAAAACAGTTATGAGATTTCTTAGCACTTAGGGTTTAGACAAGTGTCCTTTGCTGAAATTCAAACCTGGAGGGAAAATTCATGCCAAAAGGCTACATGCTATGTGGATGTGACTACAAGGTTAGGTTTTACAAATATTCCTAGACTTAAAAATCCAAAGGTTTATTGTTTATGTAAAGCTATGTACTCTTTTTAATAATGTTATTTCTGCTTGAAACTTTTACCAAACTTCACCTTTATGATTACATTCTGAGGCTGTGGCATATTAGTTGAAAGATTCTCCATGGCAGGATATCTTTGTTCTTTGGGAGAAAATGATTCTTAGGAAACAATGCTAAAATTTTTAGAGCAAGGTAAAATTCATCAAACCAGGCAATGCTATTGTGAATACAAAGTTGTGCATAACATAGGAAAGAGAACTTTCCAGTGTGCCCAGTAACCTGGTTCTTATCTTGAATCTCTAAGAGGAGATTCAAGTGTTAGAAAATGAGGGCAAACTAAGGGTGTGACCTCTCTACATCTTTGCTTCTCAAAGTGTGGTCCATTGACCAGCAGCATCAGCATCACTTGGGAGCTTCAGCTCCACCCCAGACCTGCTGACTCACTATCTGCATTTTCTCAAGATTCCCAGAGAGTTGTTTGCAAACGCGAGTTTGAGAAGCATTGCTTCAGGTGTTCACATCCATTTGGATGTGGACATTCAGGGACATTTATTTTTGTCAAATATTTCTGCACTGTTTCAGACTCACTCCCTTCCCCCACCTTTCTTTACCGCCTGCCCCCCAGACTCTGCCACCCACCTGCACTCTGCACCTAGCAAAATCCTTGTCTACAAATCTCCAGGGACTTGCCAGGCAATACTCTTTATGGCAATATTCTAGGTCGTCTTCTTTTCAGGATGCTTCCTGGTTGGCTTTGCAGTATATTTTTCTGCTTGTCCAAGTTCAGCCACATGTCTGCAATTCCTAGCAGCGCTTTTCACATCTTCTTTGTATCTGAGCCTCTGGGATCATCTCTCTTAGAAACCTGACAGGAAGAGAGGGCCAGTGGCCTTGTAGTGGTTTCAGAGAAACTAGAATTTAAAACGCATATGACTATAACCAGTTTATTTTCGTGTCCTTTATTTTATATTTTATAACCAATTTATTTGCAAGTGTTTTTTTCTTCTTCTCCTTCCCCTCTTCTTTCTCCTCACAATCTGTTTCTCAGATGCAGTGATTGGCAAACTTTTTCTGTCAAGGGCCAGATAGTAAATATTTTCGGCTCTGTGGGCCATACGGTTTCTGTTGCAGCTATTCAACTCTTTATGGCACGAAAACAGCCATAAACAATATGTACACAAATGGGCATGGCTGTGTGCCAAGGAAATCTGATTTATGATAGCTGAAATTTGAATTTTATATAATTTTCACGTCATGAAATATTATTTTTCTTTTGATTTTTTTTTCCCAACCATAAAAAAAATGTAAAGCCAGCCGGGCTCGGTGGCTCAGCCTGTAATCCCGCGCCTTTGGGAGGCTGAGGTGAGTGGATTGCCTGAGCCCGCGGGTTCGAGACCCGCCTGGGCAGCAAAACCTCATCTCTACAATAAATCAAAAAATCAGCCGGGCGTGGTAGCGCGTGCCTGTAATTCCGGCTACTTGGAAGGCTGAGGCGGAAGGATCGCCAGAGCCCAGCAGGTCGAGGCTGCGGTGGCCGGGAGCGGCCACTGCACTCCAGTCTGGGCGACAGAGTGAGACTCCAACTCAAAAAAAAAAAAAAAAAAAGTAAAAGCCAAATGGGCTGTACAGAAAGAGGCAGTGGATTTGGCCCATGGGCCATAGTTTGCTGACTCCTGCTTTCTGGCCATTCTTATACTCTTGATCCGTGAATGATTCCACTGCATTCTGAAAGTATTTCCACTGGTTACAGAAAAATCTAAAACGAGAACTTAAACTTCTATTTAATTTTTTTGAGCTCTTACCCAATAAAAAGTAACATCTTAATTTTTTATACTAAAAATATTTTCTTGGCTGGGCCTGGTGGCTCATGCCTGTAATCTCAGCACTCCGAGAGGTAGAGGTAAAAGAATTGCCTGAGTCTAGGGGTTCGAGACCAGCCTGGGCAACTTGGAAAGTCCTTATCTCTACAGTAAATCAAAAAATTAGCCTGGTGTGGTGCTGTGTGCCTGTATTTTCGGCTACTTGGAAAGCTGAGGTGGAAGGATTGCCTGAGCCCAGCAGTTCAAGACTCCAGTAGCCGTGATCGCGCCACTGCACTCCAGCCTGGGCAACAGAGTGAGACTCTGACTCAGAAAAAATATTTTGTTTATTGTCTCTATTTCAGTCACTTACACCTTCACATTATCTAGGCTTGTTGACTCTTATTTATTTGCAAGATTTAAAAATACCCCCCCCCACCATAGATGTAATGCTCTTCCTTGAGGGGTTGGTGCTCCAATTAATTAATTAAATTTAAAACTTTTCTTCTACTCATTGTTAAATAAAGATATTTGATTTGAGTTTTGCTTTCTTAGAGGTTTTGGGTCAAAAATTATTTTTCATGAAAAGAATAAGTCTTTAAACCATTTCATTAGCTTATTTTTTTTAAAGGCTAGGATCAAGAAAGTATTGTCCAGAATAAAAAAAAATAGTATTTACAATAAAGTCAATATTTATTTTTCCATATTAAAAAAGAACACATGCTCACTAAAGAACATTTGGTCAACATATAAAAGTAGACTGTTATAGAAAATTCCCCCATGGTGCCACCATCTAGGCATATCGGAATATTCCGCATTAATCATTCTGCTGCCCATATATATTTTTATCTAGCTTTTTTTTTGCCTTTTACAGGAATCAAAATCCACGTTTATGCCAAGAAACTTTTCTTAAAAATAGGCCTGAAATGTTCTGTAGGCAGTTTTCCTAAATCTATAATGTAACACAGGTAAAAAGCATGTTTGGAGGATGGCAGCATAAAAAAGAAGAAAGAAAAAGCAGGCTCCTCTTAGAGTTTGTGTTAATAAATAATAAAAACCGTCACACTGGCAAATGATCTACAGGTCTTCCATCTCTAGCAGAAATATAGGTACCGCCAAACTTTCTGCTCCTGCCACGAAGGGCTTTGGTGTCCCCATTCACCCCCCACCATCCTTCTCCCCATGGCCGCATCTCCAAATGATTCCTTGTTTCTGCTCACAGAACATAGCATGAATGAATTCCCCAGAACTTCCCCAGCTTCACCAAAAATATTTTTGAAATCTTAAATTCACATCTGTTAATGCCCAGGTGCTACTTGGAGTTGACAAATTGGGCACCCTTCTGTACTTTGCAGACATCCATTTAGAGAATGTTGCCCACCAGATGGGGACATTAAGTTATTGGTGAAAAGCTATTTTGACTTTGGATTTTTTTTTTTTTTTGAAGTGGCTAGAAACTTGATCCAAAAAGCTGCATATGTCTGGTAATAAGGATGGGTCTGATGGAAGGAGAGTTTGTGTGGTTCAGGGCAGGCAGATAATGACTCTGTTGCTAGATGATTGAGTTATATACAGTATATTTTTTAAGTCCACCCTCTTTTTGTCCATATCTGTATGAATGGTTTAGATAAGATCCTGAACTCTAAATGCCATACACGCTAGCTTTCTCCTTCCACTCTGATTTGTTCCAAATGACATAGTTTAAAAGTTTCAGTTTTCACATCTTTAAGATGAGCATGTAGTTATTTAAAAAAAGTGAAAGTATGAGACTTAAACCACAGATAATTGGAGGTGGAAGAGACTTTAGAGATCATCTCATCCTGTTGTTCTCAAACTTGAGTGTGCATCAGAATCATCTGGAAAGCTTGTGAAACTACACATGGCTGGGTCCCACTCCCAGAGTTTTTGAGTCAGAAGATTTGGAGTGGGTTTGAGAAATTTGTGTCTCCAACAAACTCCCACGTGCTACTGCTCTGGGGACCACACTTGCAGAAGCACTGATTTAGTTGTACCTACTCACAAGAGAACTGAATTTCAGAGCAACCAAGAGTCTTACCAAGATTACTTAGCTGGCAACTAGAGTCTGGTTCTGTGACATTGAGCCAGCTGGGTTTTTCAATACGATATCAACACTGAGAAGGATGGACTGATATCAAATGTCTTGCATGTGCCTGAGGGTGGTTTACCGGGTGGTCTGCTGTAAGTCAGTCATTTATTTTTGTCTGTTTTTTCAGTGAGTCAAGGTCTCCTAAGTCTCCAAGCTAAACAGGAGTACTGCCTAAAGCCAGAATGCATTGAAGCTGGTAAGTCACAGTTTTCCATCCTGTGTCAAGTTATAATTATGGTACCTTGGGGAGTGGAAGAGAAAACAGGTGGTATTTTTAGTATTCTGTTTGCTTGAGGTTTACCAAGTATGAAATGTAATTTTGAAGAAATTTTAAGTTTACTTTCAAGTTTGGGTGTGAAATAGTGGAACTTAGGTTTCCTGTTTTCTTTTGCCTTGCAAATAACAGCTGTGCAGTATTCCAGGTGTCATTATAAGAAAATCAGGGAGGGGTTTCGAAGGCTGAATGGCTTCTCTTAAGACCCACAGGCAGGGATCATTGGCCTGCCTATGGCTCTCTGGCTGTAGGAACCTATTTATCTTAAGCAGTCTGTGCAGCTTCTGGTCTGTGGGTATGACCTGCCTGTCTCTAAGCAAAATCCTTTATAAATCCATGCTTACATTGTCACCGGAAATTTCCTTGGGTCTTTCTATTAATGTTGCAAATCAGACTTCTCTTGACTTGAACAGGGTATTTATGAGTGAGTACTCCAAGGTTAAGATGAGTGCTTGAAGTTGCCTCAGTTTAGCCACAGTGTTTTGTCCTGTTGAACCCGTGGCTAGCGTCACCTCAAAAGTAGTGACAGGGGGAGTTCCCATGAGAGAGTGCCCCAAATCATCCCGAGATTGGGTCGGTTGGGATTCCAAAAAAAGAAGCACTAAATAAATGCCAGAGTGATCAATCCAAAGCATTTGTTAGTGGAACTTATACACAGAGTGCTGCAACATACCCTGAAGATGGACAGCAAGGGAAAAGGGATGATCTACCTAGGTATGTCTGAAGCCAGGGGGTCAGGAGATGGAGTTTATATGAGGGTTTAAGGTGTTTGACTCAGGGCCAGGCCAGTTTCTTCCAGTGTTTTGTGCAACAACCTAGATTTCCTTTATCAGTTCAAGGCCCTTGGGTTCAAGCCTTCTGAGAAAGACCCGCAGCTGGCTGGATCACAGAGCAGTCAAGGCACTCTGTGATTTTCGGTCAGGACACAGAAAGAAAGCACGGGGACCTTGGGGGCCCTATACACAGCTATTAGGTTTCCCCTCTAAATCAGTGTTGGGGCCTAGATTTGTGGAGCTGGATTTTAGCCCTCACATCCTTTAAGTGGGCAGGGACGAGAGAATGTTTCCAAAGGAAAAGACATAGGACAAGTTAAGCACATGGACCTTTCACTTTCCTTTTGGCCTTAAGGGAAGAGATTAATGAATAAATTTACCAAATATTTATCGCACACCAGGCACTGAGTTAGATTTTGGGAATAGAACAGTGAACCAGGTATGGGAAGAAAGACAATAAACACATAAAGCAATCAATACACAAGAAAAGTATCAAGCTGAGTGCTGTGATGCGGGCTTGTAGGCCCAGTTACTTGGGGTGCTAAAGTGGGAGGATCTTGCTTGAGCCCAGGAGTTTGAAGCCAGTCTGAGCAACATAGTGAGACTCTTTTTTAAAAAGAAAGAAAGAAAGAAAGAAAATTATCTGTCAGTAGTATTATTCAGAAAATTGTAATATTCAAATAGAGTAATTTGATAGCAAGTGACAGGAAGATAAGATTGATAAGTCTGAGGACATGACATTGAAGGTGACCTGAATGATGAGAAAGGAAATGCTGTGTGAAGATTAAACAAGGGCTTTCCAGGTAGGGAGAAAAGCTGGGGCAAAGGCCCCGCAGAAGAATGAGCTTGCTGGGTGAGGAGCAGAGTGCAGGTGATGGGGAGGGTCAGTGGGGGGCCAAGTGCCATGAGTTTGGGTTTTTCTTAAGTGTGCTCAAAAACCTCTGGGGGGTTTAAGAAAGAGAGAATGCATCTTATGAGCATTTAAAAAGGATTGCTCTGGGGAGAGCTTAATTAGAGGGAGTCTTTCTGGTTGGAGAAAAGACCAAAAAAATATAAATAAATAAGAATGGAAGACTGTTGCTCAGGCAGGAGTTTTTTTGTTTTTGTTTTTCTCATTACACTAGGTGAAAGGTGATGTTGTCTTGAATTCAAGAGATGGAGAGGGAAAATATAGAAGGTTTAGGAGATAGAGGGCATCCTGAAGGATTCAATATGGGCTATAACCAAAAAGAGAGTTGGGAGTGATGCTTAGATTTTTGGCGATGGTTGTATTGGCATTTATTGAGATGGAAGACTTGTGTGAAAGAGCTTGTAAACCCTGAGGACTTATGCAGAGGTAATGGGTTAGATAATTATGTTAGTAGTTTTTTTTTTTTTTTGAGTCAGAGTCTCACTCTGCCATCCCAGCTGGAGTGCAGTGGCATGATCGCAGCCACGACTGCCTGCGCTCAGGCAATCTTCCTGCCTCAGAGTCCCAAGTAGCTGGGACTACAGGTACGCGCCACCACACCTGGCTATTTTTTTTTGAGTCAGAGTCTCACTCTGTCGCCCAGGCTGGAGTACAGTAGCATACTTACTGCCACTGCAGCCTCGACCTGCGGGGCTCAGGCAATTCTTCCGCCTCTGCCTTCTAAATTGCTGGAACTACAGGTATGTGCCACCACGCCTGGCTAATTTTTTGATTTATTGTAGAGATGAGGTCTCTCTATGTTGCCCGGGCTGGTCTCGAACCCCTGAACTCAGGCAATCCTCTCACCTCCATCTCCCTGCTGGGATTACAGGCATGAACCACCGTGCCCAGCAGGCTAATTAAAAAAAAAAATTTTGTAGAGACAAGGTCTTGCTATGTTGCCCAGGTTGGTCTCGAACTCCAGGGCTCAAGCAATCCTCCCACCTCAGCCTCCCAAAATGCTGAGATAACAGGTGTGAGCCACTGTGCCCAGCCAGTAGAGTTCTTTTTTTGTTTCACTCTTGAGCAATATATAAAGCAATATATAATAAAATTTTTTTTTTTTTTTTGAGTTGGAGTCTCACTCTGTTGCCCAGACTGGAGTGCAGTGGCTGCTTCCGGCCACCGCAGCCTCACCTGCTGGGGTCCGGCGATCCTTCTGCCTCAGCCTTCCGAGTAGCCGTAATTACAGACACGCGCTACCATGCCCGGCTGATTTTTTTTTTATTTAGTGTAGAGATGAGGTCTCGCCAAGTTGCCCAGGCGGGTCTCGAACCCACGGGCTCAGGCAATCCACTCACCTCAGCCTCCCAAAGCGCGGGATTGCAGGCTGAGCCACTGAGCCTTTTTTTGTTTCACTCTTGAGCAATATATAAAGCAATATATAATAAAAATCTTTATAAGACCTCTAACAAGTCACAAGCCTCACTTACAGATGAGGAAATGTAGGCTTCTAGAGGCTGAATAACTGCCCAGGGTCATATCCTGATGTAACAGCAGAGCTGGGCTTCACATCTATGTATGGCTCTTCCCATCTTTTCCTTGGTGACATGGGGCCATGCCAGGCAACTCTTTTTGGCTCTGGTCCTTTGTTGTTGTTGTTGTTCTTTTTTATTTTTTATTTTTTTTGTTTTTTGTTTTTTTGTGTGTGTTCTTCTTTTTTAATAACACTAGACAACCTTTTCAGCTTCTTTATATTGTCCCTGGAAGGGTGGTCCTCTTTTTTCTGGAATAATTGGGAACTCCCAGACCCTTCCCTGTTTCCTGCTTGAGCCGTTGACCTGGGTTTTTTTCAGTGGATAGAGAATGTCATGGAGTTGGATCAGGGACCAGGTGGGACTATCAGGATAGGTTTTAGACTTTGTGTTGCCTGATGCTTTTGCTATGGTAGTGTTCTTGAAGATGTGTGAAATTAGAATTTTTGAGCTCATAACATTTCAATTTGAGTTTAGACAACTTTTTGTATGGGAGGGGTCACATATTTCATGAGTTTTTCTTTATTACTAATCATAATAATGCAAGAGTAAAACTTATAGACTGACATTTGAAGATGTCACATTCTGCCAGCTAAGTGTGTTTTTGCTTTGCTGTCCTGTTTTTAATTTTCACATTGGCAAGTGACTTTCTAATGTTAAAAAAATTGATATTGCTGTTTGTATAGTGAAAGGCTCAACAAGGATATGGTCCTCTTTAGTGTAATGTGAGCCTCAGTGTGCCCAAGGGGTCTGTGGAACAGCTGTTGAGTACACATGGCAGGGGAATTGTATCCAAGCCAGGGTCTTAAACAAGAGACTGTGCGTGCATGGGCATGCGTGCTGAAAGTTCAGATGAGTGTTTGGGCGCCTTCTGGACCATTTCTGAGCAGGTGCCAACTGTCCATAACTCTCCTTTCCTCCTCTTCTTCATGTAACTCTTGTTCTAATTCCTCTTTCAAAATAAGAGCTGTCCAAAGAATGCAAGGAAACGAGGAAAGGGCATGATTATGATAGTGGGTAAGAGCTGACAGGCTGACCTGGATTTGAAGCATAATCTGGCCATTTATAAGCCATGTGATCCTGGGCTAAATACATAACCATCCCAAGCCTCAGTTTCACCATCTGTAAAATGGCAGTAACGGTTTTTACTTATAGAATACTAGTTGTGAGAATAAATGAACATAATACTGATAGTAGCAGCAATGCACGTTCACAATGCCCGATCCTTAATCCCAAACCCAGAAAGCATTGTAACTCTCAGTTGGCAAGAATGGACCTGACCTCAATTCCTTTGATGGTAAAACTGGATCTTAACCCATGTGAAGTTGTTTTAACCCATTTATAAAAATATGCATATGTTTCCCTATAGAAGTGTTAATGTGCTTGTTTCAGGGGTGCTACTCTAGACATTGCTGAGGTGTTATATAATCTGTATTTCTTTTCCAAAAGCTGATAATCTATCCAGCCTCAGAGCTTCAGATAAGTGACTGTGGACTTGTAATAGCAAATGTTTATGTGTACAGTTCTCAGTTTTAGGTAATTACAAACATACATACAGGATGCTCAGTTAAATTTGAATTGCAGATATACAATGACTACTTTTTTGTAGTATGTCCCATGCAATATTTGGTACACATTTATTCTAAAAAGTATTGTTTACCAGACATTCAAATTTCATTAGGCTTCCTGGATTTCAGCCAGCAACCATATTTATATGGCAGTGTGCCCAGCACTGTTCTAAGTACTTTACATATGTTTATGCATTTAATTTACACGACAATCCTGTGAGATGCTATTATTATCCCCACTTTACAGAAGAGGAAATTAAGACATAGAGAGGTTAAGTAACCTGCCTAAGGTTTACTTAGCTATTGCATGGTGTTGTTTCCATTCAAACTCAGGTGGTCTGACTCTAGAGTTTGTGCTGATGCCATGTTGCTTGAAAAGGGCTTAGCATAGTTCCTGGCACAGAAGAAATGCTTGATGTTAGTGATTTTATCATCATCATCGTCATCATCATCATCATCATCATCATCATCATCATCACTATCCTCTCTGTAAAGCTCTGATTAAACCTAAAAACTCAGGCTGATATATGGGGAGGATGGGAGGATATCTCCATCTCTACCACATAAGCACTAGTTGGAGACTGCATGATGTTAACTTCATATGCAGTGACTTGGGAGAGTACGCAGCCTGAGCTTTCAGAGGTTTCCTTCATCATCATATTTCTTTTTATTAAAACAAGACTAGATTTCCTCCATGGAGCTGAGAAGGGGGAAAGGAGTTCTGGTGTCTTGACAACTATGGTCCCTTGCAATTTGAAGTCACAGTTCCCCCGCAGAAAGTGCAGCCTTGTGCCCCGCTGTGAATTGTGAATGATGAATTGGGAGGCTGAAACTAGAGTTTTCTCACTCAGCGGGCTCCTTTCCAAATTTAGTGTGAGTGATGTATTCCCCTGCTTTTGTATTAGGGCCGAGGTCAGAGCTGATCTTGCAGTTTTTCTAGGTACCTGCAAGAATACTGAGGTGGAGAGGCTACATCTGAGGGTTGGGAGCAGGGGACGTTTGGGAAAGAGGCCAGAAAACAATGCGCTTATGTGAGTTAAAATGTGTGTGAGGGTCCCCTGTGTGACCGTAAATGTTGTGTGGGACCAAGACTTGTATGATCCATGTCCCTTAGGTGTCACACAACAGATTAATTCTGTGACTGCACCAACAGAGTAACTGTAAATACAAACTGAAAGGAAGATTTTGTATGCCCTAGCATAGTTACATAATAAATCTTAATGCTAAAATAGAAGAGCAGTAAGTAAAAATGTAATTAGAGACAACTGAATTAGTCCTGAAAAAGAAAAATATTAAGCCAATTTGAAATTTATCAAAGTACTAAACCAATTTTTTGCTAGTTGTTTTTGGTAGAGGATAGGTTTGAAAATGGCAGGGGTTTTGAAATCCTATAGACATTAGAATGTTTACATATTAGTCACTTTATTGAGGACAAAAAGCAGTTTGAAATTTTCATAAAAAATCTAGGCTAGAGAAATATCTAGCCTTATTTTTATTATTTATTTATTTTTTGAGTTGGAGTCTCACTCTGTCACCCAGACTGGAGTGCAGTGGCATGCTCCCGGCCACCGCAGCCTCAACCTGCTGGGCTCTGGCGATCTTCTGCCTTAGCCTTCCAGGTAGCTGGAAGTACAGGCGCGCGCTACCATGCCTGGCTAATTTTTGACTTATTGTAGAGATGAGGTCTTGCCAAGTTGCCCAGGCAGGTCTCAAACCCGCGGGCTCAGACAATCTACTCTCTAGCCTTATTTTTAAACCTGGGGGAACCACGCTTGTAACCACACTATAAGATGTGTTTCTCAATTTATGCAGATTGTACTTTTTTGGGCAGTTCATTCATATTTAGCTGAAAACTCATTGGGTTTTCATTACTTCAAACACAAACGTATTCTGGCATTAATTAAAGTATGAAAATTGTCCAGAAGGTCATTTTTCCAATGTCATTAAAACATTGGTTGCTTTTTAAAAATCAGTTGGTGCATATTTTTGTGCTACAGTGATAACCAGCAATTGTATAGCAGCTGGAATAGAGTTGGATTTCAACATTAAGCATTTTAGAAACTTCTCATTTGGTAATGAATGGTTTTTATTGAAAGCTCATGGATAGAGATTTATGTACACATTTCCTATTTATGGACTATCTTCTATGTGCAATTGTATATAGGCTTATGAAAGAGGAAAAAATGGTAGCTCAGTCTGTTGTGTCTTTCTGTCAACTTACACAAATATTCAGTTCTGTCCCTAGACCTGGTCCCCTCATTTAGAACTCCCCACTTTGGCCCTCCTCTGGCCATGCTGTCCCCCCAGTCAAGGAGTTTCTGGGGTCATATCAGCAGCCCTCTTTCCATACCCCAGAATTTCCTGATAGAAGACCCCAAACTCCTTCCAAGGCTTGTGTGGGTCTCTTTAAGAGTTTTATTCTTCTGAGAGGTGCACAGAATATCAAGAGGCTTAAGAATTTATATCTGGCCTACCAGGACTTTATTAAAGTATATTGTAAGGATATCTTTTAATATTTAAATAAATGACATGTGTACCTCTGTTTTGGTTAGCCAAAGAAACCACCCCAAATCCTAGAGGCCTGAAACAAGAATGATTTAATATTTTTCATGATTCTGTGGGCTTGGTGGATGGTTTCTCTGCTGCATTCAGCTCAAGGGTTGCTTGGACTGGAAGGTCAATGATAGCCTCAGTCACATGTCTGCCAGTTGTTTCTAGCTTGGTTCTTCTCTATGTGACATCTCCCCTAAGAGGCTTATTCACAGGGCAGCCTCAGGGCTTCATTAAAAGGGAATTAACATGGAAGGTGCAAGCTTCTTCTTTTTTTTTAAAACATATTTAAGGCCTAGCTTTGAAACTCACAAAATGTCACTTCTGCCAATTTTATTGGTCAAAGCAAGTGACAAAGTCAGCACAAATTCAAAGCAGGGGAAATAATAGACTTACCATTTGATGGGAAGAGTAGCAAAGTCACTATACAGAAGGACAAGTAGGATGGAAGAAAGAGTCACACTTACCTTTGCAAGCAGTCAACCACATATTCCATTTGTATTCGTGTCTCACAACCTACAGTTGTTAGAGATGGTCCTGCAAAAACCAATAACCAATAACTTCTATCCACTTGTTCGGAATGCGGTATTTCATATCGTGAAGTTGGTTCAGAAAGTCATTTGAGGGGAAATGTAAAAGCCAAGGCTTGGGAACTGGTTGATATAAAATCATTGTTTAATTTGGATAAGAACAGTACACAACGTTCAGTGCTTGTCATTAATCCTATGATTTTATTTTTAAATAGCTGCTGCCATCTTGAGTAAAGTAAATCTGTCTGTGGATCCTTGTGATAATTTCTTCCGGTTTGCTTGTGATGGCTGGATAAACAATAATCCAATTCCTGAAGATATGCCAAGCTATGGGGTTTATCCTTGGCTGAGACATAATGTTGACCTCAAGCTGAAGGGTAAGTTTCTACTGGGGTTTGGTAATACATTTTATAGAGAGTGGGATTTGAAGCGTGATTTCTCACTTTTTTCAGCGTTCTTATTTCTAAGAATTTTTAAAATGGAAGATTGAAAAGGAAATGTGTGGAATTTTGGTCTCTCAGATCTCAGTGCAAATCCGTTATGTTCATGTTTAGTAACAGTAAGTTCTGCTGAAGGATGAATAACATTTGATTGAGAGCAAAGGAATAGTTAATAAAAATTATATCAATATACTTATTTGTCTGTTGTGTTCATAGTAAACTTCATTCTTGCTCATTGTGTCCTAGATTTTCATGGCTTACAAAATGTACTTAACACCTCATCATTTTTTGACATCACTTTGGAGAACTCTGGATGACCTTGTGGTTGTCATATTGTTCCTGTTAACTTCTAAATTGACTCTAGGGATACTCAGTTTTCTCCCATGGCCTTTCTAGCAATGACAAGCTCACACACACATACTCACACGTGTGTATATACACAGATGTATATATGCTAGAACACCCCCCGCCCCCACATACACAAAAGTTGGAAATGTCTATTACTGGAAGATATTCTGTTTGCATTGGATCTAATTTTCATGCTAAGCCATTGGAGAAAGCCACTTCAGGAGGGAAGTAGGAAGATTTCAAAGTCAGATAAAGTATTTGTTTTGAGAAGGCAAAAATAGTATGTGTCTTTTTTTTTGAGTTGGAGTCTCACTCTGTCACCCAGACTGGAGTGCGGTGGCCGCTCCCATCCACCACAGCCTCGACCTGCTGGGCTCCAGAGATCCTTCCGCCTCAGCTTTCCAAGTAGCTGGAACTACAGGCGCGCGCTACCATGCCTGGCTAATTTTTGATTTTATTGTAGAGATGAGGTCTCGCCAAGTTGCCCGGGCAGGTCTCAAACCCGCGGGCTCGGGCAATCCACTCACCTCGGCCTGCCAAAACGTGGGATTACAGACTGAGCCACCGAGCCCGGCCCCCAGTATGTGTCTTTTTCATTGGCGCTTTTGACAACTGTGAGTTATGCCATGTAACTTGCGTTCAGTAACACCTACAAAGAATTTATGAGAAGTTATAAAAATCACCATTTTTTCTTTCCCATCTGTATTTTCCCAATATTTTAAGTACATGAAAATTAAATATGTATCACTTTATAGCAAGTGAAACTCTTGGCAAAATAATTAGATAACTATTGTCAATTGCAAAGAAAATGTGCTTAAATTTCACAACTAGATATAAATCACATGGACTGATATTTTCTATTAGAAGACCAAACTTAAACTTGGTAAGTTATAAATGAGAATCTGCAAGAATGTCAGGATTTTCCCCTAACCCAACAAGTGAGATTCCCATACTATAAAACCATAAGTAAGACCTTGAGGAGTAAGTTTACTAATACTTATTTCCCTATAGAACAATAGTTCATGTTGGTCCTTAATCTACCATTCTTGTCCATTTCCTGATTCTTTTCTCAGACTTTTCTTCCTCGATAGACAGATGTGTACACACATGTGTGCATATACACACATGCACAATCATGCATGCAGAAATATCACTGATAGTTAAGAAAAACACAAGATTTCCACATATGCTCCTTTTATATTAGTTGTAGCCGCAATCTTTCTATCTTCAGGACATGAAGTGGCTACAGTAATTTAAATAACTTTCCAGGGATGTCATATTATGAAAGTTAAAATCAATACCTTTATGCTTTGTTTGTGGAGGATATTATGTATGGACTCCTTCAAAAGTCATAGAAATGAAGGTAAATTGTTTAGCACAGGGCTTTTGTTTTTGTTTGCTTGCTAGGTTCCTTTTAAAAGTGAAAAAAAAAAAAGATTTCCAAGCTCTGTTGAAGTTGTGCATAACCTCATATGCACACCCATATATTTAAAAAAATAGCTGATATTATTCATACTACTCTGTAACCTGTTTTAAAAAACCATGCATTCCTCATAGACACAGATTATGTCAGTAGTTAACTTTTCTTCTTATAAATAACACCATAATAAATATTCTCTGTACACATCTCCATGTCTTTATCTCTGCAAGTATGTTACAGAGGATTAAATATTCTTTTTCTTTTCTTTTCTTTTTTTTGAGTTGGAGTCTCACTCTGTCACCCAGGCTGGAGTGCAGTGGCACGCTCACGGCCATCCCAGCTTTGATCTGCTGGGCTCAGGCAATCCTTCCGCCTCAGCCTTCCAAGTAACCAGAACTATAGGCACTCGCTGCCATGCCCTGCTAATTTTTTGTTATTATTTAGTGCTTTTTATTGTGAATTCCATATAGCCAGTTGATTCTCACAGAATTCTTTCTGATTTTTTACCCAACTCTTGTGTCCATAATGTCCCTCTGGTTACAATTTTGAAGAACAGCTGTGGTTCCTCATAAATGTTGATTGATATGCTTGTTTATATCAATAAGTAAGATAGAAGTAAAGAAGCAAAGACTGCTGTTGGAAGGTCCCTTATTTGTCAGTTATATGTGTGACTTCTTTGCTGAATCAGACAACAGTTTGCAAATAGGAGAAGACTATTTCTTCATTTTTTTGGTGCTACTCACGATATGGCATGACATGACACATTTAAAATTTAATCTGCATTATTAACATTTTGGCCATAATTTTCTTAAGTTTGTCATCAAAACAAATCAAGCCCTTTATGCATATCTAATAAGATACTTAAAGAGATAAAAAGAAATTACTTCTAATTTTTTTTATTTATTGTAGAGACGAGATCTCGCCAAGTTGTCTGGGCTGGTCTCGAACCCGTGGGTTCAGACAATCCACTCGCTTTGGCTTCCCAAAGTGCTGGAATTACAGGCTGAGCCACCGAGCCCTGCCAAAGATTAAATATTTTAAGAGTATATAAAGCTTTTCAAATATCAGATATACTGACAGTCTTCTTTATCTAAATGTATTTAGATTACATTCCCAGAAATTAACTTATTGGGTTGAAAGAATAGTCACAAATTTAATTTTTGGTGCACATAGCCAAATTACCTTTGAGAAAGTTTATTTCTAGGTCTTTATATATGTTCTTGCTTTTTTAAATGATAACTTTTTCCCATCAATTGTTTTCTGTGGTATAAAGTAAGGTCAGCAAACTATGGCCAGTAGACTAAATCCAGCCTATCGCCTGGAAGTTTTATTGGAACACAGCTGTACCCATTCATGTGTACACTGTCAATGGCTGCTTTTGCGTTCTCACAGCAGAGTTGAATAGTTGCTGTGGAGATTGTGTGGCCCAGAAAGCCTAGGGTATTTATTCTCTGATCTTTATGGACAAAGTTTGTGAACCCCTGATGCCTGGTGTAAAGTAAAGCTTTGAATATCTATATTGGATTTTATTAGAACTTCGTTAGTTAATAGCTGTTTGATGGTTTCTCTGGGATTTTTTAGATAGTTAATTATAAAGTTTAGAAATAGCAGAACAGTGTTGAATAAGAGCAATGACAATGGGTTTGATTTTCTTATTCTAAGTTAGGTGGCATTGCCTCCAGGATTTCCCCCAAGAATACATAATTGTTTTTTTCTGATAGCTATTCTTTATTTAGTGTTCTGCTGTTCCTGGTTTTGTTGCTCAAGAAAAATTCCTCTTTGCTATTTATCAAAAAACTCAGATGGAATATCTATCCCTTTTAACTTCTCATGGTTTCCTTATACTGAACTAAACTTCTAATTTTGAAAGAAATCCTACCTATGAATGGTTTATTTTTTTTAAGACATTGCCAGAATTGAATAAGCTACTATTTTGCTTTATGTATTTGGGTCTATATTTATGATTCATATTGGTCTGTGACTTTTTGTGTGCTAAGTTTGTCAAATTCTTTTTATCAAGATTGTGCTGGCCTTATGAAACAAAGTGGGAGGCTTCCTATGTATTTCTATCCTCTAAGAAAGACACAACTCAATAAATCCCAAGTTATTCTGTGACAAGCACTGTAAAGGACAAATTTAGACACTGATTGTGGGGTTCTTTCTTTAAGTGTCAAGAAGGAGAGCAAGTGGGGGAGTAGTGTCTCTTTTAAAATTAGTATCATCTTGTACCTGATGTAATGTAAAAAATAAAATATCCATTCTTCAAACTTTTTTTTTTTTTGAGTTGGAGTCTCACTAGGTCGCCCAGACTAGAGTGCAGTGGCCGCTCCCAGCCACCGCAGCCTCGCCTGCTGGGCTCCAGCGATGCTTTCGCCTCAGCCTTCCGAGTAGCCGGAATTACAGGCATGCGCTACCACGCCCGGCTGATTTTTTGATTTATTGTAGAGATGAGGTCTTGCTGCCCAGGCGAGTCTTGAACCCGCGGGCTCAGGCAATCCACTCACCTCAGCCTCCCAAAGGCGCGGGATTACAGGCTGAGTCACCGAGCCTGGCTTCTTCAAACTTTTAAAATATTTTTATTATAGCCATTCTAATAGATATGCAGTGCTATCTCATTGTTTTAATTTGATTTTCTCTCATAACAACTATTGTTGAGTATTATTTTTTTATGCTTGTTTGTCATCTGCTTTATTTTGAGATAATTCAAACTTAGAGTTGAATGAATAGACAAAGAACTATGTGTCCTTTACCCAGATTTTTCAATTATTACAATTTGCTACATTTATTATATTTTTCTCATTCTCTATAAATGTATATATTGTCTCATTCTCTATCTCTATCTATACATTTATATACTTTATATATTTAGGTGGATAGTACATGACAAAGTAATCTGATCTCTATAAAGGTATAGACAAATATCAATATAGATACAGACAGACTTTTTCTGAAGTCTGCAAGTGTGTTACAGAGAATTTAATATTCTTAAAGTGTATAAAGCTTTCCAGATGTCAGATATGTTAACAATCTTATTTATTTCTTTTTCTTAAACATTGAATTTTGAAATTCTATCTATATCTATCTATACTTTATATCTATCTATGTTTCTATCAGTTTATCTACCTATGCATCCAACCATCCATCCATTTATCATTCCTCCCAGGTAATA